GATATAAGCAAGTAGGTGATAGCAATAAGAAAGAATATTTTAATTGCCACTGATTACGTAGAGTCGCGCGATGCCGAATGTCGGCATGTTATCACTTGACGGATTATTAACAGATGCCGAAAGTCGGGATGCTATCACTTGAGAGGAATCATTTTTAATGGCTATGGGTGTAGTAACATTCAGCCAAAGACTGATCGTAGATGTTTATATAACATAAAAACAAATCTATTATGTAAAGATCGATACAATAAATCATTTTTGAAGTTATACTTCTTTAGGCGCGTTATGAAAAAATGATGAGAGTGAAATTTTAAGATGCGCGCGCATCACTGTAACAAAAAATTTTAACAGCCGCTTGAGCGACCAACTTCATGCTGTTACTTTTGTGTTTACCGTACATTAAGAAACTCTACCATCAAAATAGAAATAGAATCTCTATTTAGTGGGTGCTAACGACTGCATTGTGAAGGCCTATCAAAAGTATTTATTAATCTGGAACAACGGAACCAAAGCGCGATTCAGGAGACTACAGCGCCATCTCTTGACCATTGGTGTAGTAGAACCAAAAACCACATCTTTATTTTTTGTAATAAAGTAACAGTTATAGGTATTCATATTTATAATATTTATCCACATGTTTTTAGTTTGTATATTCGGAATACGTGTTTGAGTTTCATACAAGTGCAAATCACATATGTTCTAATAAATTATATTCAGTAGCGATTTTAATTGAATATTTTGATTATTTATTTATTTTTTCAAATTAAAACTGAACTTTATTGACTGTGTCCTTTTCCAGACTTTTTATTAATTTATTGTAATTAATTATTTGCATGCAATTAAAAGCTAATTTTAAACGATGCCAAAGAAGGATAACTTCTCACGCGCCTGCATAAGTACACGCACCCATTTTTTTTTATTACACTGTCGTATTAATATTCACAACTATATTATCATTTTCACTAGATGCAAATGTGCTCAGACAATTATTATAGATGGTAGGCGACATCATAAAGTCTATTGCCATACATTTTTCGCCACCCAACACCTCCATAAACACATTATAATCTGTATATATGTTAGGCTTTAAGGTATCTATCTATGGGCCTACGTTCCCTGACTATAAATTAATAAATAAATAAAATTATAAGGTGTGATACACTAAAAATCTAAAATATGGTTATCTTAAAAACATAACAAAAATAATGAAGCTACTGAATATATGGCTATAGAACCTAAATCTCTTAGCTTTCTTTGGTTAACGAGATTTTAAAAATTCTCTCTAATCTGTGGCTCATTCACAATCATCACACAGTTTCTGTCACAGAGCACCTTATTATAACCGGAAATGACACCTGATTTTAAAAGTTACTCTTATGCATTAACTTTAAAAACAGGCAACTATCTGTTAATCTATCTACATGCTCTATATACCTGAATCTAATCCATAATTTCGGTACTTGGCTTGATTTCCCTAGTTTACAATATAACTTTTTTTTTTTATTATTTTAGTATGTTCAGTGTATATGGTTTATAGAAGTTCTTAGGGGTGTCCGTCAATAATATTCGTTTCTACAGATATTTATATACAGGGTTACTACAGAACTTAAAAACTTCTGTAGTAAAAAGTAATTTAAGAAAAAGATGAGAATATATTCTCATATTGTGTTAGAAATAGCGGCGGCCATGTTGAACATGAATTATAAAAATATTTACTATGCTTTTCTGGTTTTATTTACGTATTATTGCTATTTTTACCTCAAACTAAATATGTACCTTCTGCTACCATAACTGTTATTTGGTTAATGTTTTGCCAATTTAATAGCAAGTGTTATACCTTTTTGAATAGCTAAAGAGACGTAGAAGTTTTTAAAATTATTTGCAGAATAAATTCCATACATTTTTTTTTTAGAAAAGCGCTTCAACGTTAAGAACACTTGGTGAAAATTATTTAGTTATAACCGTTGTCGAGCAGTTTTTTTAAGCCGTTAGAAGTAGGTTCAGTTTTTATTCATTATTTTTATTGCCGGACATGTTTTCTAACTAGATACATTAAAAAATCGGACCTTTGGAGCTCTAGTTTCAAAAAAATTGACAAAAACCCGAAAAATATAGGATTTTTAAAAAAATCTTTAATATCCAATATCTCCATAACGGTTAAGTTACGGACACCATATTATAGGACCAAATCCATCAGAAATGACCCGAATAATAACGTTCTTCAATATTCAGTACGACTTTCCCTGTAATCCTGTATAATTTCGAATATAGGAAACAATTTTTCATGATTATTGGTCTTTAGGCCAAACATGTATGGAAGCTGAGCAATTTTATTTATAACTCGTACAGATGTTTCAATGTCTTTGGTTTTTAATTGTGTGAAAAATATACTAAATTTGATTTGATTAAGTTTACCCACTTTTATGTGGAATATGGCCTAACCTTGTATTAAAACTAATCTTACGCGTGCGAACCAAGGGTAAGAATGCCATTTCGCGAGTGTAAGATACAGCGTGTTTTATTTTGCTTGTCAAGCACACAAGTATATAAAACCAGCAGTGCTATTCTGTAAAAGGACATTGGGCAAAAATGTATGGACGCTGCACCTACGTCCGCCACGGCTTACACTACATTTGTTTGAAAGGTATTATAGTCGAGATCCTCTGTGCCAAAAGCGCATCAAATTCCATCTCGGGGGTCTTTACTTATTTTCAGTTAAATATGTACAAGTACTATAACAAACGAACATTAATGAAACAAGGGAATTAATTAGTAAGTTAGTTCGACCCTACAAGGTGTTCAAGAATTATGGGAGTACTTCACAAGGTGCAAGGGTGCCCCCTTATGTTATTCTGCCGCGCTAGAGTAAATCCAAAAAGCCCCGCTTGAATTGGGTTTTTTAAACATTCTGTTCGTTATAGTAAATTGTCTTCTAAGTAAAACGGAGCGACCACAGATTACACAAACTTGTCCACGCTTCTGAGAACACATGATTCCAGTTCATCCATACTAATTGACAGAACTGATAATCGTGTTCTAATATTATCCAAAGCGTGTTAGATAAAAATCAATGGGAGCGCACAATCACAACGAAGTAAGACGAGTCAACTATTTGCAAATGCAAGTCCTTCAGCATCCGTAAACCGTTTTGAAAAGTCTCAGTAAGAGCAAGCGCAGGATGGTCGACAGGATTTGTCGTATATCTGGTTGTATAGTACGATATGACATATTATTATGATTACTAATAATACAAAATGAATTTATTCAGCTACTTAAATATGCCCATGTGTCATATCTATTGACTACCAGGATATTTTTTACGGTGTCATATCTTTTGACTCCCAGGATTTTCGGTGTCATAATAAAAAAGGCTAGTTTTTCATAGATCTATCGATTCATACTAATAACATTGTTGGCGGGGCTGGGTGCGTTTTGCCCATTGTCCTTTTTTGTGCCTGTTTTTGTCGCAGTGTTTATGACCAAGTGGACCTCGGGCCCACCAAATAAATCCTTATGAAAACCACCGAACGAACGAATGTGACGACAATATTATTCCTTATTTTCTTTTTCAATTTATATGTACCGGCTTCTGAATAGTTATGGGAAGCAATGCAAGATATTTCAAGTTTTTGTCTAAAACCTTACCTAAAAACACGTGGTTCTCGGGCCCACCAATTTCGGTCAATCATTCCGCCGGGAAGCCGGTATATAAACAATGACACCGAAAGTAAGCAATAATATCGTCATCACATTAGTTCTAGGTGGTTTTCATAAGGATTTAAGTGGTGGGCCCGAGGTCCACATGTTCACCAGTTTTTACAAGGCTCTATCTAGAGAGTAAATAATCAAAGCATCACATTGTATGAAAAAAAAATGGTTTTGCCGTATCAGCTATTTTTGAAACTGAACTCACTAACTCTAATAGCCAGGTAATGTTTATTAAACTTTGCTGGCAAGTAAGTATTTGAGAACAAATACATCAAATGCTGTGCTGTGCTCTGAAAAAGTAATCCAACATTTTAAAATATGTGACATTACTAATATACCTAATTTCTTCTAACATGTTATTTTCGTAATAATAAGTGACACCGTTGTCCATGTTACATTTTTCTAAGTAATAGCTTTATTATTTATTAAAATTGAAGAGCCAACGCATGACGTGATCGCTACGCCCACATTTCACAGATATAATAGAGACGCTTAAATTAGGGGTTCGGCACCAGACCTAATGATACGACTTGCCGCCCCATCCTCTTCATAGTGAGGTGTAATGGCTTCATTATCGACTACATTGTTGCATTATAGTGAAATCTTTTGGGTTATGCAATATTTTTATTAATATTATATTATACTATTTATTGTAGATAAATCAAAATATATTTAACGGTTAAAACTCAATCATTAAATTAGGTATCTGAAAATACTAAACTATATGATTATTACACAAAAACAGTTTTCAAACTCAACTTTTATTATACATATACTATTTACTGCTTGAACAGCTTGAAGTAATTAATAAAAAGTCTTCCAGTAACAGAATGGATATTTGGATTTTATATTGCGAAAACACATATAATTAGAGAAAGTAATTTATTAGATTGTAAAAATTGTAGGTACTACCTGATTAAGTTTAAAATGAATAGCCTTTTAAAAATATTTACACGACTTACTAGTAGTTTTACAAAATAAAAAGAGAATGGTTTTAAGTAAATTTACCAAATAAAGTACCTAAAATTAAATGGTGTTAGGCTAGTTTCAGAAATAAATGACTTCTCAGGAATAAATAAAAATAATAAAAAAGAAGAGAAAATTTGGTTATTAAAAAAGAGCGACAAAAGATTTATTAATTACAAAAAACCACCCTCCATTTAAGTATTAATTTCAACTGAACTCTGATTTTTATAGGAAGGGCAGCACACTGGCTATATAAACAACAGCCTACAGGCCAGCTACACCTATTTTACTATTAGTACTTCACACACTCACGCCAGTCACCTACAATGTTAAAAAGGTTTTTTAATAGTTTAGAAGATCCAGACAGACCATTGTTAGGTCCAAATTATTGGATTCTAAAGAAACTTGGGTTGCTTTTACACTTTGGCAAATTGGGCAATATATTTACAATTTTAATTCACAATATGGGACTATTATTCGTTTCCACGCAATATGTTGACTTATATTTAATACGATCCGATTTGGACTTGGTTTTACAAAATCTAAAAATTTCCATGTTGAGTGTCGTCTGTGTTCTAAAAGTCAATACATTTCTACTTTGGTGTTCTAAATGGAAGGAAGTCATAAACTATGTTACTGAGGCAGATAAATATGAAAGGAATACAGATAATCCTGATAATGTACAGATTGTTAAAAAATATACAAAATATTGTCGTCGTATTACTTATAACTACTGGATCCTGGTGTTCACAACCGCTTTCATTACTGTAGTGACACCTCTACTACAGTATGCGTATTCATCCACGTTCCGGGAAAGCGTGAAGAATGGAACTGAGGCATTCCCGCACATATTCAGTTCCTGGGTCCCGATCAATAAAAATGATTTTCCTTTTAATTGGGTGACAGTGGCATGGCACACTTATATTTGTGTGCAAGGAGCATTGGTCGTGATGGCGTATGACACAAACGTTATGGTGACAATGGTTTTTATTGGAGGAAAGTTGGATTTGCTGCGAGAACGATGCAAGCTGATGGTAGGAGTTAATGGAGTCACAACAAGCAATGTTGATTTAGCTGAAAAGCTGCGTGAACTACACAAAACGCACGTTCTTATTCTGAGGTAATATTTTGCTTCCTTTTAATATATATTCTAAAGTGGTAAATGAATTTCGTCATCAGTCCTGTTGTGTTTATATGAAATATTGGCTGCTTTTAAAGACATAGCCACATTTCGCCGTGTAATGGCGTAATGCATATCAAACGAATGTCTACAATGACAGCTACCAAAATCTGAAGTGAGATTTTATTTTACAGAATCGGTCTACAGTTCTAACAATCGTGAAATGATAATACAAAAAAAAATACCAATTAGAAATTTTGAAAAACCATCAATAGTTTAACAAAATATTGATTTCAATCCAAGTGCTATGCGTGCGGTGATGGAGAAAGAATACTACTCACCGCTCCTTCTCTTCCCGTGGGTGTCGTAAGAAGCGACTAAGGGATATCGGAGCTCCCATCCGCTCTTCTAGTGGTAGGGTGCCTAACACCCGCCTGGTTTGTTACTACCGTGCACATGGTGAAAAACCCGTGAAGTACTTCTCGCGGGGTCAGCCAGCGCACAATCAGAGCTCGAGTAGGGGTTACCGTGACAGATTCGGTCCAGGGGAGGCATTTGTCGAATAGATGCTGGGAGGATTGCATCGACCCGCCATTTGGGTCTCCATGGCCGGCGCGCCGGCAAAAAAACGGTTGTCCCGCTGGCCGCCCGTGGCACAGTACAGGGGCCCGAGCGTTCCTAACTAGTTTGCGAGGCTGCCCCATCATGTCACACATAATCTCGGGGTGGACCATCGTGCCGGTTGGTGACCGGGGGAGAGCTTCCGTCCGGTGGGTCGGCGTATATCCTCTGCAGGCAATCACTGGGGGAAACAAACCTCCTTAATTTGTCACGACTCTTTTTCACCTCCATCATGGCAGCCCTTAAAACAAGGTTTGGACCTACAGCAGTGCACACCCCCGTGCCTTCAACGCTGTTGGAGGTCGAGTTCTACAATATACGCGGACTCCACTCTAAACAACTCGATTTTTTGAGCACCTTAGTCGGGCAGCAGATGACGCGCAGGAACAATTTCCCAATGCAGAATTGGTGTTTTTGCGGACATAATGCTCACCACAATTTGTGGTTAAGTTCCTCTAAAACCTACCATGCAGGGATCTCTGCTTACACATTCACTCTCACGCATGTCTTGAAGCAACTGGTTGATCAGCTCACCAGGTTCTCAGACATTCCAAGTCAAGCGTCTTCTTTACTGGACCTCCTGCTCACGACCCATCCACAGGGCTATCAGGTTGTGGTAAGAGCCCCCCTGGGCTATTCAGATCACTGCCTGATATCTGCCAAAGAACCACAGGTCAAGCCCCCGCGTCCAACAGGGGTCAAGCGCCGTATCTGGCACTATGGGTCGGCAGATTGGGACGGTATGCGGGACTACTTTGCATCCGTCCCTTAGAATATTCGCACCTCTGGGATGGCTTCGCCAAGTACTTGCTCGATACTTTGGATAGGTTACAGCGGCGTGCGATCCGCATCATAGGCGATGAGGAGGTGACTAAACACCCGAGCCTCTTCAATTACGCCGTGACGTGGCGCCACTAAGCGCGTTCTATCGTATGTATCACGGCAAGTGTTCTGAAGCGTTATTCTCTCCTATTCCACCTTCCCCTTTCCTTCAGAGAACCACGCACGCTGGCCTTCTGTGTCACCGTTTAACTGTGGCCACAATTCTAACGCGTACAAAGAAATTTGGTGACTTATTTCTTTGTCGCACTATCCGTAAATGGAATGCTCTGCCTACTCACCTGTTCCCTCCTTCTTACAACCTGGGATCATTTAAAAGAGGCGTGAAGAAGCAACATGCAGGCGGGCAAGGTGAGGATGGCTGGTTTGGCAGGTAGAACTGCTGTACCAGCTATCATCACGTCTGGACTTCACCATCACGTAACATCAGGTGGGGTGGACTCATTTGTCGGAACTATCCATAAAAAAAACACATTGGGGATTGCAGAGCCAGTTCATAAATATCCAACGATATCTGATGATTGCTACAAAATCCCGCTAGAACTACTAAACGAATTTTCTGAGTTTTTGACCGGGATCGGGACAAAGGATAATTTTTATTCCGAAATAATGTGTTTCTCAAACAACCATAAGTATTATTCTTAAAATCCAACAAGCACTAATACATGACATCCTCAATCTAAATAATTAGTTTATTTTTTAAGCATGTAACTGCTTGATGTTTAAATCTAAAGAATATATAACTAGAAAAAAATCCACGAGGACCAGGCAGCAGACGGGACTCGAACCCGCACCCTTCGCTATCCGGGCGAATGCACTGACCAATTATGCTACCGCAGCCCTGACGGCCATGTCGAAATTCTTCTAGCCATCCTTAAGCTGCAAGGCAGGACCATTTCTTCGCCTTTGTATTGTTTATAAGAAATAAATATCTATAGAGGAATTGAGTACCTTCTCCTTTTTAAATTCTTTTAAAAATACATCTCAAATAAGCTTTTTTTCACAAAATTACTTTTATAAGCTTTATAGATAAATTAAAAATAACATAAGCTACTGATCGTTTTTCGAGCTTCTCGTTTTTCAAATCGTATTTAATATCAATAAAGAGTATTTTATTCTTTATAAGTGGTTGTAATATTATCGATATATTCCCGTCGTACGCCAGCCGACGCGATGGCCCACACAACGCAATTTATCCTTCGAATTATACCCATTAACCCAATAGCAATTTAACTAATTTTATTGTATTCTTGTTTGTAAACATTTTAATTTATTTTTCAGATATTCAAGATTATTTAACTCACTGCTGTCACCGGTGATGTTTTTTTATATGGTTATGTGCACATTGATGCTTTGCTCAAGTGCCTATCAATTGACAGTAAGTTTTTTTTATTTTTTTTTATTTTATTTTAAGTAACGATAAGTAGTCTCAATTTTAATTAAAAATAACTGTGGTCCGTGACTATAAGGATTCAATTATACATACTTTTATTTCAATCCCCTTTAACTTTTATTTACACATAAAAAATAAAAATCTATAGTATTACCTTCCTTAACTCTCGTGAAAGTGTTATAAAGTGGGTACAGTTGCGACGATTACTGTTGCGGCAGAAAAATATGCTACTTCAACCATACTCACGTTCCAAGCCTGATCCAAGATCTACCCGTGGATCCCCAGAAACGTAATTCATCGACAATATTCAACAAAAAAATGTAATTTGCCGATGGTGTTCCTAAAGGTGGATTGAACCCCAAATCGAAGGAAAATCCGCTAAGTATTGGAAATTAATTTGGCCGTTTAATCGTGAAAACGCAACCGACGGTTTTGTTGTTCTGGATGGATTATGGATAGAAAATAAATATTGAATTAAGTCACCTATTTGTTCCAGTCCGCAACAAGTACAGCTCAGAAACTGATAATGGCAGAATACATAACCTTCGGTGTTGCACAACTGTTCATATTTTGTTGGCTCAGTGATGATGTACTAACAAAAGTAAGTTGTCCTTAAGTTCTATGGTAATTTTTCAAGTTTCTGCACATCGTAAGTTTTTGGAACATTAACACTTATTTCTTTTTAGGATTCCGTACCTCAAAAGGAAAAAACGGAGTCCTTATAGGATCACTTTGTTGTCCGTCCGTCCGTCCGTCTGTCAAGTACGTTTTTTCCAGGAACGCGTGGAGGTATCAAACTGAAATTCATATCTAATACTCATGTATACTGTCCCTTGAAGCTGTGAAAGAATCAAACTTTTAAGCCAAAGCTATCAAAAGATACAGCCGCTTATACCGCAAATTTCCGCAAATTTACATTTACAGGGTACTTCCCTTGAACTTAGAATCTTGAAATTTGGTACGACGTCGTTACGTTGTATGACGTCGTCGTCGTAAGACGTTGTCTTATAGTACAGATAAAGGAAAAATTTCGAAAACCGTAAATTTTTAGATACATCGAATAATATAAAATATTTTTGAAAATTTTAAAGTTACTACCTCTTTTCTCATGAACGCGTAGAGGTATTAAATTGAGTTTATACGGAACCCTCAATGCGTGAGTCCGACTCGCACTTGGCCGGTTTTTTTCCCTAATAAACTCAATTAAATATAACATTATAAAAGTAGCTTTAAATAAGTGGGAATCAGTAAAGTTGCGGGCTTAATTTCACAATAAAATAATAGTTCACAATTAAATTGTATCAACGCTATTACTGATAAAAATACCTAATTCTGAATAGCAGCTGCGAGATTTTGGATTTATTTACAGAGTGAGAAGGTAATGCTCGGTCCTTATGAAAGCCAGTGGTGGTTAGCAGATTCGAAACAAAGGAGAAGTGTCTTTTTGATGGCTGGTCAACTACGCATCATCCAAGTGTTTACTGCGGGGCCATTTGCCAATCTCACACTTCCCACATTTATACACGTATGTTGAGCTTCGTTGACTTTGTTATTTTACTTAAAACTTTTGTTACACTGTAATAACTATGGCATTGCTACACAAGTAGAATTAAGAATATCTTATTTATATTATGATTCTATTTTGCTGCTTTATTAAAAAATCTACATATTTAATCTAGCCAATTACTCCACCCCGCTTAATGTTGAGTGTGAATAGGGTCCGTTGAAAAGTTAGCAAGTACACTGCCTGGCTCACAAACACTTTCTGAACAGTATAAATGGATTGTAAAACTGTGTCATACCCCATAAATATTTAATGTTTGACTTCTGCACGTCTATTCTGTTACATGCAATCCATAATGCAGTCTAAATTTCGTTTATTTAATCTATATATATAAAACTCAAAGGTAACTGACTGATATAGTGATCTATCAACGCACAGCCCAAACCACTGGACGGATCGGGCTGAAATTTGGCATGCAGGTAGATGTAAAGACGTAGGCATCCGCTAAGAAAGGATTTTGATCAATTCTACTCCGTAGTGAAGCGATGGTGGGCCACTAGGTTTTAATTAATTTATCCTATTGTGTCCGTCAGAGTCTATTACTAATTGCTTCAAGTCTTAATGCATATTTAATTTAAGTCTGTCTGATAATAAAATTATGTAACTCGACATTGAGATTCCATTTTACAGAATTGCGAGGTCTACTGTAATCTAGAATAAACAAAGTTGTTTACTATTGCTTTTTGTTTTCAGATTTTGAAGGCGGCTTATAGCTACTACACTTTACTAAAAAAGTAGAAGATTATCGAAAACATAGTATTAATTAATGCACTTTAGTGAATGAAACTTTTTCAATTTTAAATAATATAGTAAGAATTGAAAATGGTATTTTATTCGTTAAACCTTTTTTTATGGTGAAGAGAAAGGAGAAGAGATGGTGCTGCCTTGCAACTTAGAAATACTAAAGGAAATTCGGCAGACTCATTTTTTTTATGAGATGACTATTTAATTGTAAATCGTTACCAAAAAAATAGAATTTATTTTATCTCCGATTTTTTTTTATTTATAATAAATTCTTTCATAATTTACTCCAAGTCGTTTCCCATCACTTAAATGCGTATATTCTATATATCTTTCATATTTTTATAGATCTTGAAACTTATAAACAAACACAAACCTCAAAATTAACGATGTTGAAATCAATTTATTAGCGTTGTTACAGTTTGAATGAAATCACATCACCACACTTCTGCGTGGCTTATAATTATAAAAACTTATAACCTTCACTCCAATTAGCCTAGCCCCAAAGAAAGCACTGTAGGCTTGTGTTATGGGATACTAGCGTTACGGATAGAATACATATACTAATACATATATAAGTGTATTTATATAGAAGTACATATTAAACATCCATGACTGGTGTACAAATGCTCGTATTCATCACAGAAACATCTGCCCCCACCAGGAATCGAAGACGAGACCTCTCGAGTTGACGACACCATGACACCACCACACGGTCATGGAGGTCGTCAACTCCTGACAGAGTACACCAATTTTAATAAAATAAAGACTAGATGATATCTATTTACATTCTATAATATGTTCAGTTCATTGCATTTTATTTGACCGTTTTTGTTTGATACGTTTCCAAAAAAAAAGGGTAAAGTGTCAGATAAAAGTCCAAAACATTATAGAAATTACAATACAATCTATCTTTTTAAGAACTACTACACATTTTAAACCCCTCAAACTATTTTTTCAAATATACACGATGGTCAGAGTAGTGCATCATACAAATATATCGCCTTTGCGCCATAGTTAGATTTTCAATTGAATACCAAACATAGAAACACACAAACGTACTAACTTTCACATTGATATTGATGATTGAGTTCAGTGACAAGATTCTCACGTCTCCTTGGTTCCTACCTGTCCAGCCGCTGCGTGTCCAAAGTATCTCGCATGCACTATACTATCGTCTGCATAGCAATGAATGTTCCCAAGTGGAATTAAATCATTGATATGCAGCAGAAAGAGTGTGTGGGAAAGAACAGAGCCCTGAGGAACACCGGCATGACAACTGACTGATATAAACTGCGAACTACATCCGTCTGTGAGGACGCGAGTTCTACCTCAGCTACCCAGGCGCAGAGCTGAGCAGGCAGACCGTATGCAGGAAGCTTGGAGAGAAGGCTTTCGTACCAGACCTTGTCCAAAGCCTTGGCGATATCAAGGCTAATAGCCAAAGACTCTCCACCCTTGTCTATAGCTTCACCCTAGTTGTGTGTAACGTACGCTAGAAGGTCACTCGTCGATTGGTTCGGCTTAAATCCATATTGACGATCGTGAATCAGAGAGTAATCTTCTAGGTAGCAGGTCAGATGGTTGTTAAAGACCCTGACAGTGACAGCTATCGGCCGATAGTTGGCCGGGTCTGAGCGGTCCCCTTTTTTGCACATGCACACAACGTTGGGCATTCTACACGACTCTGATGTAAGCCATTTTACAAGACTTGGAAGTACTATTATGGGCAACAGTGAGTCAACCCCGGGATCCTTAAGAGCGCGGCCTCTGATCCAAGCGCGATATGACGATCACGATTGAACCATCGCTTACTTGTGCGTTTACTGTTGAGATCGGAACGTGGAATGTAATACTCCATTCCCATTACGATTTTCTCAGTAATAGCAACGGCACTGGCCGATAGGTCCTTTTCACTGAAGCAAGCAAGCAAAAGTAGTCGCGCATTCCATCCCAATCTGCCGACCCATAGTGCCAGACCCTGCATTTGACCACCAATGGTCGAGGAGTTTTAGCCTGTGGCACCTTGGCAGATATTAGGCAATGATCTGATGAACCCAGTGGGACTCGAACCACAACCTGATACTCCTGCGGATGAGTCGTAAGCAGAAGGTCTAGAAAAAAAGTCGCTTGACTTGCTATTTGCTGGTGGGCTGATCGACCAGTTGTGTCAATGGTCAGTTTTGGGCGTTAAAGTCCCCCAAAAACACCAGTTCCGCGTCAGGAAATTGCGCCTGGGCATCATCTGCTGCCTTACGAGTGCTAAGATGTTTAAAACAGTCGAGTTGTCAAAGCGTCGCCAGTGTGGGATCTGTAGAGGCACACGTAGACTCTGGCCAAAGGACCAAAGTCTACATGTACCGCCAACATGGACGAGGAGGGTCTTCCAAACAGCAAAAACAGCGACAACAAACATCCACCCAAACATACAGGCATATGCCGGCTTTTGCTCTGAAGGATTCTTCAAGCACGTAGCCGGGATAGTTAAGGTAGCCTGTGTCAGCGGGCGGAAGTCATTGTGTCTACGTGCGAAATATTAATGCTGGCCGCGCTGTCTCAAGATAGTGGTGGACAGCATTGAGGTTAGAGTGGAGTCCGCGAATATTACAGAACTAGACTTTAAACAGCGCGAAAGGCGTGGGGTGTGCACCGCTGTAAAACCAAACTTTGTTTTACGGGCTGCCTATTAGAATCAGCAAAGTAACATGAAAATAATTATCTACCAATTGAAACCGACTGAAATTTCAAATTAATATTAACTATAGATTTCTGAAATTGAGGTGTCTCAGTTTCATTGCTCGCGAGTGTATGTATATTATCCAACCCCTTACATGGATCAACTTTTGCAAAACAGACGCAGCCACCGCAACGGCGCCAGTTGATAACATCATATCTTCGCTTTTCTGAAGTTGTATTCAACAATTACGGTTACTTGTGACATCTGACGTCACTTACATAATTTTATTAAGTACAAAGTAGGCTACAAGCTCCAAATATTATGTATTAAGTTACTCCGCCGCAGAATGGCCAATCACGCCATAATCAAGGCAGTATTGTGGACATCTTCAGTGAATCCGTATGCCTTTAATAAAATACGCAAACAGTCAATGATAGTAAATTACACGAGATTTGTACAAAAATTATAAATATCCATATTTTAACAAGATCGCATATTTTTCGAGAAATTAACCCCTTTTATATTATATGCCTCTAGAGTAGTATTGGCAATGAAATAATAATAAACATGATGCCGCTGAATTTAATATAAACAATGAAAATTCTAAAGAGAATACTAATAGGACAATGGGCAAAACGCACCCAGCTCCACCAACAATGTAATTAGTATGAATCGATAGATCTATGAAAAACTAGCCTTTTTTTATTATGACACCGTAAAAAAATATCCTGGCAGTCAAAAGATATGACAAATGGGCATATTAAATATGCCCATGTAAAGTGAATTCACTTAAAATTTAAGTAGCTAAATAAATTCACTTTATAGTGCCTTCATTTTATATTATTAGTAACCATAATAATATGCCATATCATACTATACAACCAGATATAGATGACAAAACCTGCCGGCCATCCTGCGCTTGTTGAAGGACTTGCAGTTGCAAATAGTCGACTCGTCTTACTTCGTTGTGATTGTGCGCTCCCGGTCACTTGATTGATTTTGTCAATTAGTATGGATGAACTGAAATCACGTTTTCTTCGAAGGGTGGACAAGTTTGTGTGATTTGTGGTCGCTCCGTTTTATATAGAAGAGAATTTACTATTACGAACAGACTATTTGAAAAACCCCAACCCATGCGGGGATTTTTGGATTTACTCTAACGCGGCAGAATAACACAAGGGGGCACCCTTGCACCTTGTGGAGTACTCGCATAATACCTGAGCCCTCTATGTAGTCGAACTAACTAAATTAATTCCCTTATTTTATTAATGTTCGTTCGTTATAGGTATGTATTAACTTGTACTTATTTAACCAAAAATAACTAAAGATCCCCGGGATGGAATTTGATGCACTTTGTCACATATGCTCATGACTATAATACCTTTCAAACAAATGTAGTTTAAACCGTGGCGGACTTGGGTGCAGCGTCCATACATTTTTGCCCAATGTCCTTTATGCAAAACAAAATTAATGTCGATACATTTTTTTTCAACATTTAACAAATCTAACACGCGTAGAGAAAAACACAATAAAAACTTGCGAAGGAGGTTGGTCTGTCGCCTACAAGTAGGTTCGATAGGTTTTGATGAAACGTACTTAACTATTAATTTTCACGTACTGAATCAACTCACATCGACTTAACTTGATTACCTCCGTGCCCGAGTGCTTTGTACGCCGGGTATTAAGGTGTCGCCTACTCGAAAGGCTCCGGGTTCGAATACCGCTAGAGGCAGATGTTTGTGTGATAAATACGAGCATTTGTACTCCAGTCATGTTTAATTTGTATTTTCATATAATTATACTTATGTATTTATATATGTATGTATATGTATTCAATCCGTAACCCTAGTATCGCATAACTCAAGTCAACAGTGTTTACTTTGAGGCTAGGCTAATTAGTGTGCGTTTAAAAAAAAAACATCTATGTGCATTTTGCAAATTTATCTACTAAACAGCTTTTGAAATTTACTTATTATCTTAGGGAACTAAAGTTTTATTTTACATTGTTTAAAGTTTTATCTTAATAGAATGTATTGAAATATCGCCTTTGATACATAATATTTAAAACTCACCCTTTGTGGGGTTGGCGGGTCTAATAGCTACGTCAGTAATAAGATATATTTGTTATTATAACATTTTTATTATATATAGCGTACCTTGCCCTGCCAGAAACCAGTGTTGTTGTCACTCGCTTAGTAACGCGTGGCAACGGCATCGTGATGAGGCAGGGTCCTGATTAACCATTATGTTACTAATATAGTTTAAAAGTTCCTTTCTAATTTAGTTTTTTATATTAATGTAAACGTGTTTTTTCATTGTT